CAACACCCCTGGGTTAAGAGATCTCAACACCCTGGGTTAAGAGTTCTCAACACCCCTGGGTTAAGAGTTCTCAACACCCCTGGGTTAAGAGATCTCAACACCCCTGGGTTAAGAGTTCTCAACACCCCTGGGTTAAGAGATCTCAACACCCCTGGGTTAAGAGTTCTCAACACCCCTGGGTTAAGAGATCTCAACACACCCTGGGTTAAGAGTTCTCAACACCCCTGGGTTAAGAGTTCTCAACACCCCTGGGTTAAGAGATCTCAACACCCCTGGGTTAAGAGTTCTCAACACCCCTGGGTTAAGAGTTCTCAACACCCCTGGGTTAAGAGTTCTCAACACCCCTGGGTTAAGAGATCTCAACACCCCTGGGTTAAGAGATCTCAACACCCCTGGGTTAAGAGATCTCAACACCCCTGGGTTAAGATATCTCAACACCCCTGGGTTAAGAGATCTCAACACCCCTGGGTTAAGAGATCTCAACACCCCTGGGTTAAGAGATCTCAACACCCCTGGGTTAAGAGATCTCAACACCCCTGGGTTAAGAATTCCTTCTGCTACTGTTTCTCCTACATTGATGTTGTTTTATCTTCTATTTTGTGTTTGGGAAGGAAAATATCTTGACAGTGATACGAGATGTGTCAGAGAAGGCTTATACACCAAGCTTCCCTCAAGCTTCACATTTGAGCGAAACGTTGTATTCTTATGCTCTGTGTCATTATATTACGCCAACAATGAAGTGATTTGAGAGTTGCTGTTGTGGTTGAACCTTTGTGCGAAGAACTGGATGTTTGGACAAACTCAATATTCTAAGTTCTGGCGTTGTGGTATGTTCCTCTTTGTACACACACTTATATTCTGACCAGTAACATACATGTGCAACACTTGGGTATCTTTGTTGCTGAAACGTTTCATCTGCTCGGCAGGCTTCTTTAGTGGCATGTGGAGGTGATTTTAATAATGAATGATGGTGATGATAGGCCTAGCTGAGACAGGTCACATTTTTGCTATGCTAGGCTCACTCTTACCTTCCCTCTCAAGAGTGTGACCTGCCTCCTGACTGAGGCAGGTCACACTCCTGCTGTGCAAAGCACACTACTAATGTCACTCAGAACTAACAAGCTACCTACTGCCTAACTACCTATTGTAGTGTTCATATTAATTGGCACAGTGATGAACTGAGACATATATTTGGGGAATTAATGTATATTTGAAAAATATACAGCTATGATATGATACATAATTGATTTAATAAGAGAGAGATGACTATCCTTTGCTTTTATAAGCATTGCTACATGTTTTGGCATAGAATCGACCAATGTTGAACACATTTTGGCAAGTTCTTCGTTGGGGTACCAGGTCCTAATAATAGCAACAGTTAGCTTTTCCTTCGTTTGGCCCATAGATTCTCAGTTGGGTTGAGGTCAGGAGAGTTTCCAGGCCAATTTAGAATGCTTAGCGCTCCTCAGTCACCAGTTCTCTTCAGAATCCGACCAACAGTTGACTTTGCTACACTCAGTTTTTCGGCGATCTGTCTGATACTTAAATCAGTATGTTTTCTGAGCTACAATACTTCACGCTTCCTAGGTGTAACATCCATGAATTTCAGTAGTAGTCGTGAACTGAAGAGGAGAATTTGGCGAAACTATAGTCACTTATGGAGTATGCTTGCAGGAATAGCCTTACAGAACAGCAGCTATTGTAGCACTGACGAGAGTCGCAAGGTAACGCCACAGCTAGATGGCTGCCAGAAGTCGGTAGCAAACTCATCTGAAAAGAAAAAGGGTCCAAATTTCATTAATTAAACCGGACATTAAGACATCATGAGACAATCACAAAAATTTGCCCCAGACCCAATTAATTGCACAATACTGTACACACAACCAGGTGAATAAGTGCATCTCTCCTTCAAGCAAGACAGAGACACAGACGTGCGAGGAAGCGGACAGCACCTTATTTTAACCCGGTGATGGACAAGTGACCGTCACTCACCACAGATATTAACACAGGAGAAATATAGCGGAGCGGCTGCTGAGGTTAGGTTAGGTAAGGGTTGTCAGGAAACAGGGCAAGCTAGCTGGCCCAGTGGCTAACGCGTCGATCTGGAGTTTTACGACTCACCAACCGCGAGTTTAAGCCCCACCCGTGGTATGGTTTGTTTGCAATCATGTCATTATGATTCCGTGAGTTACCTGGAGGTTACCTGGAGGTTATTCCGGGGATCAACGCCCCCGCGGCCCGGTCCACGACCAGGCCTCCCGATGGATCAGGGCCTGATCAACTAGGCTGTTACTGCTGGCCGCACGCAGTCCGACGTACGAGCCACAGCCCGGCTGATCCGGCACTGACTTTAGGTATCTGTCCAGCTCTCTCTTGAAGGCAGCTAGGGGTTTATTGGCAATTCCCCTAATGCTTGATGGGAGGCTGTTGAACAGTCTTGGGCCCCGGACACTTATGGTGTTTTCTCTTAGTGTACCAATGGCGCCCCTACTTTTTATTGGCGGCATTTTGCATCGCCTGCCCAGTCTTTTACTTTCGTAGGGAGTGATTTCTGTGTGCAGATTTGGGACCATTCCTTCCAAGATTTTCCAAGTGTAGATTATGATATATCTCTCCCTCCTGCGTTCCAACGAGTACAAGTCAAGTGCTTCCAAGCGTTCCCAGTAGTTAAGGTGCTTGACAGAACTTATACGTGCAGTAAAGGATCTCTGTACACTCTCTAGATCTGCGATTTCACCTGCTTTGTATGGAGATGTTAATGTACAGCAGTATTCCAGCCTAGAGAGAACAAGTGATTTGAAAAGGATCATCATGGGCTTGGCATCTCTCGTTTTGAAAGTTCTCATTATCCATCCTATCATTTTCTTTGCACGTGCGATCGTGGCACTGTTGTGATCCTTGAAAGTGAGATCCTCAGACATTACTACTCCCAGGCCCCTTACATTATTTTTCCGCTCTATTGTATGGCCGGAGTCAGTAGTATACTCTGTTCTAGTTATTATCTCCTCCAGTTTTCCATAACGGAGTAGTTGGAATTTGTCCTCATTGAACATCATATTGTTTACCGTTGCCCACTGGAAAACTTTGTTTATATCTTCTTGGAGGTTAACGCGTCCTCAGCAGATGACAGCCTCATGCAGATCCTAGTATCATCCGCAAAGGATGATACGGTGCTGTGGTGTATATCTCTGTTATGTCTGATATGAGGATAGGGAATAAGATGGGGGCGAGTACTGTGCCTTGTGGAACAGAGCTCTTCACTATGGCAGCTCCGATTTAAACTCTGTTGACCACTACTCTTTGTGTTCGATTTGTTAGGAAGTTGAAGATCCATCTCCACTTTCCAGTTATTCCTTTAGCACGTATTTTATGGGCTATTACGCCATGATCGTATTTGTCAAATGCTTTTGCAAAGTCTGTGTATATTAATCTGCATTCTGATTTTCTTCCAGTGCATCCAAGGCATGTCATAGTGATCCAGTAGTTGTGAGAGGCAGGAGCGACCTGCCCTGAACCCATGTTGCCCTGGATTGTGCAGATTTTGGGAATCCAGGTGATTTGCATCCTGCTTCTTAGCACTCTTTCAAAGATTTTTATGATGTGGGACGTCAGAGCTATTGGTCTATAGTTCTTAGCTAATGCTTTGCTGCCACCTTTATGGAGCGGGGCTATATCCGTTGTTTTAAGTGACTGTGGAATCTCACCCATGTCCAAGCTCCTCCTCCATCAGTCAGGACAAGTGTTTCCTAACGCGGGTCTTAGTCACATGATGACCCGCCGCTGGAGCTTTTGGTCATCTGACCGAGGTCACAGATATGAGCACAGGAGAAACATCGAGGAGCACCTGCTTAGATAACTGAACTTCATCATATTACATCGCAAAGAAACTTCTAAGGTGAGGTGATGTGTAGTAATGTTTTAACTTGGTTGTCAGTGGCAGTGACTGCGACTGAAGAATAAAAAGTCACAGCTCCCTGGCTTAAACAGTTCACCAAAACTTATTCTTGGGAAAGGACGTCGTTTAGGTCCCTCCAAGTCACAGCCCTTGTCAATTTGTGACGTGACAGTGGTCTAGGACGAACCGAAACGTCGTCATAAGGTTCCTCTCCGAAGTGCGGGTTTTTTGCCGAATTAACCTGAGCTATATTATAAGAAACTATCGTATCTACTCTGTGAAGGTATCTTGAGGGTTAAAAACAAAAGTGTATTCACGTAGAGATGCTGTGATGAATGGTTTGAAAAACCGACAAGTTGAAGATTGAGACACTTATGCGGTATATGGGAATCTTTATTCAGGAAACGTTTCGCGACACAGTGGCTTCATCAGTCCAATACAAAAAGGAAGGGGTAAGGAGAGGAGGAGTATGAGGTAATCAGTCCCTCAGCCTGGAGTCGATGTGTTCAGTCCATCAATCTTGTAGAATGTACAGCAAAGGGCCGTAGACGTGGCTTACATACTGTAGTGAGGTGAGGTGAAGCCACGTCTACTGCCCTATGCTCTACATTCTACAAGATTGATGGACTGAACACATCGACTCCAGGCTGAGGGACTGATTACCTCATACTCCTCCTCTCCTTACGCCTTCCTCTTTGTATTGGACTGATGAAACCACTGTGTGGCGAAACGTTTCCTGAATAAAGATTCCCATATACTGCATAAGTGTCTCAATCTTCAACGTAGAGATGCTGTTGAAGACCTTACAGTCCTGGGTCCTTGATCACTTTTCTAATGCGTAGTGATGAACGTCCCACGGAAGGGAAGGGGTAGGGGAGGAGTGGTAGGGCACTGAGGGGCAGGGGGAGGGGAGTGAGAATTGGAAAACCATGGTGAGGTATAGGGAAAAAGTGAGATTTGTGTGTGCGTGTGCTGGAGGAGGAGGAGGGGGTCTGCCGGGAAGGGAGGGGAGGTCTACCGGGAACGGAGGGAGGGGAGGGGGGGTTTATCAGGAGGGGAGAGGCACGGGCCATCGGCAGTGCCACGTGCTATTTTCAACTAGTGGAGTTTGGGTGGGTAGCGTGCCAGGGGCAGCAGTGGCCCTCCGAGCTCTGCCGCGTCGCCCGCTACACTCTGGGTGTCCTAGCTCCTGACCCAACGTGCCCCAGCCTTGTGGGGCCCACGCAGCCCCGTGGCTCCGTGTCATAGTGTGACCTCACCTGGGTCAGTAGGAGGGGGGTGTCACACCTGGTTTAGGTTTACTGAGTGAAGTGTTTAAGTGAAGGTAACACGATGAATCAGGTGAAGGTTTGGCTGGGCACGCTGACAGCCAGGCTGCCTGAGTGGTGCACCTCCAGGATACCTGAGTGGCAGATACCCGACTTGTACGAGTGGAACATACCCCGACCAAGCCTCGCCGAGTGGCCCATACCCAACATACTCGAGTGGAATATTCCTAGGCCTAGTATACCAGACTGGAGCATCCCAAATTTTTCAGAATGGAGAGTCCCTCTGCCTTCAGAGTGGGGTATTCCTCCACCCTCAGAATGGAACCTGCATGGCCTGGTCAGTTGGGATGAACCTTTCGTGCCGGCCTGGGTGTATCCATCATACTGGCGACAGCGGGTACGAGATGCTGTGTTGTGGGTATGGATGATATTCATTACTTTCCTGGCGGCGAGAGATGACAAGGAGCAGCAACCACAGCTTCAGCACCAGTTCGTTGGGGATCAAGAGTCTGAGCTGGATGCTACTGCTGTTGTTGATGATGATTTTCAGCACAAGTCGCAGATAATGGTTGAGGCGGAAGAGGAAGAAGAGGAGGGTGATGAGGGGTGGAGAGGGGGACTTGGGGAGATGGGCGGCCTGACGCGTTACCCGGGTATTGAGAACTTGTTGGCACACCCGCCCACAGCCACCCCACCGCTGTCCTCACGCCCTCACCCACTCCTCACACCTGTTTCCAATGTCGTAAACAAACAAGTCTCCATCAGACAGCAAATATATGAAGAAAACGAAAGCGTGGCTGACGCAGCGCATATTGATGCACGGCATGTTGATGACGCAGTGGCAGCAGACGGTGAAGATAAGGATGTTCTGTGGAAGTCTCTTTTGGCAAGGTACACTGGGGACGAGTCTCCACGTGAAACTGATAAAATAGACGAGTCTCTGGAGGAAGAAGCCCCTGAATTCGTGGGCACCGCAGACGAAATTGTTGAAAGATATGCCTCTAAGTTCGAGGCCGAAGAAGCTGTCGCAGACAGCAAGCAAGAAGTGTCTGCTGAAGAGTTTACTGCTAAGCTTGGTAAACGTCTTGAAGAATACTTATCTCGCTTAGAGGAAGATGAGGAAGACTCTGTAGGTCAACTTGACATTGCCACAAATCAAACAAAAATCGAGGCAGAAACGCAAGAATTGCAAGACACGAAAGGAACTATTTCAGAAGTCAGTGATTATGAGAACCAGAAGGATATACTGGAAGGTAGAGATATTGAGACAGAGCTCGAAGATTTTCCACAAGATATCGACACTGAGGGAGATAATGAAAACCGCATCTTTATCCTCATTGAAGATGACGAAAGTGAGGATGATCGCCGTCAACTTAGCGACGTCTCTGAATCATCAGATATGGATCCCGGAGAGCCACCAGGAGCACTGGTACACCACACCGACCACACGGGAATAATACATTCGGTTGAACCAATGGGACTGATGCATGCAGATGAAGTTTATGAACAAGATGAAACAAACAGACCTGGCGAGACAGCAGAGTTGCACGAGGAGCTAGATAGTGAGGTGAAGAATAAAGAGATCAAACATATGTTTAACTCAAACCGAAAAGTTACAGATAAGACCGAAGTAGAGGAATCAGGAAAAACATCGGGAGGGGAAACGGTGAAGGAAGTTGGGATCAGTATTGTAGGCTCTGAAAAAGCAGCCGTAGACGACGCTGCAGTGATTATTGAGGAAGTAATTGAACTCCCGGATGAGCCAGCCGAGAGGGAGAATTGGAAAGACATGACACTTACAGATCAACAACACGGAGATGAGAGAGTCAGAGAAAAACCTGACACTGACGATGGTCAGGCTAAAGATCTGACTAGTGATGTCACTGAAGCTGGTAAACCAGCTGTGACAGAGTTTGAAGAAAAGGAAGAAGAGGTTCGGCATTCTGGCGTGACTGTTAAATTTAGTGGCGTCGTTGTGGAGATGGAAGACTTGGAGGACGAAGGGTCAGGAGCAGGAGAGTGTGAAAATCTCATAATTGTAGCAGAAGAGGAACGGCAGTTTGTTCCTGAAGAAAAGCAGTCACGGGATGACATGTCTAAGAAAAAAAGAAAAAGATTGAAGCCGATTTTGGAGGTAATTGCAATAGAACAAAAACCAAGAGAAACTCCTGAGGACGAGTCATCTTCAGAGGCAGTGATAAATGACCAAGAAATAGGACAAGACTCTGAAGAGTTACCTGAAATAGCACTTTTAGTAGAAAATAAGGAAGGACCTGAACAGGAGGCAGAAAAAATGCATGAGGAAGCACCTGTGGACGCAGTAATAAATAAACAAACAATAGAACCAGAGGTAGAAAGAATGCCTGAAGAAACACCTGCAGAAACAGACGTAAACAAGAAAGAAGAGGCAGAAGGAATGCCTGAAGAAATGTCTGTAGAAACAGTATTAAGTAAAAAAGAAAAAGAGGTAGGAATATCTGAGGAAACATCCAGAGAAATGTTGGTAAATAAGAAAGAAGAAAAACCTGAGGTAGAAGGAATATCTGAAGCAACCTTAGAAGTACTCATAAATGAGAAGAAACAAGAACAACAGGCAGAAGCAATACATGCAAAAACAATTGTTGAGGCAGTGATAAATAAGGAAAAAACAGAACGAGAGACAGAAGAATTACTTAAAAAAACAACCTTAAAAGTAAATGAAGATGAATCAGTAGAAGAGGCAGAAGGAATAATTGAGGTACCCTTACACTCAGTAGAGGGGGAGCGAGACCAAGGTGCAGTAGAAATGCATGAAGGAGTAACCTTAGAGGTACAAGTAAATAAAGAAGAAAGGGAAAAAGAAGTGTTACAGGAAGAAGTTCCCTCAGAAGTAACGATAGGTAAGCAAGACACAGAACAAGAGTTATCCTCAGGGGCAGTGATACAGCAGAAACTGAAAGAACAAGAAAATCTTCAAGAAACAGTAATGGAGAAATATACAGAAGAAGATAAGGTATCATTGGAAGATCAAGTGGATAACGAAGTAGATGAGTCTGTTGTCGATTACATTAAGGAGGCTGAGGAACCAGCGAAGGAAAAGATAAGTGCTGGTGTAGTGGAAGAACAGGTAAAAAGTGACGATCTGGGTGGCGATGAGTCCACAGTTGCAACGAGTATTGAAGACTTTGAGGCACAGCACACAGCTGTACCTGTCGAAGAATCTCTACCAATTAATATGAAAACAGACGAAGTCGAACAAGAAATGGGTCCTAAGGATATGTGGTCTTGTACTGACAAGAAGGATTTGTTAGTTGAAGCCGATGCTCAGACCTTAAGTATTGAGACTACCTCTGAGTCCCTGAGGGTGGCCCAGGACGATGACACTGAAATTCACAAGAGTATAGCTGAAGAAGACGCAGCCACTCCTGTTAGGCCTCGGCGGAAACTCTTTAACAATGAAGCCAAGTCCTGCTTGGCAAGCTTGGACACTGGTGAACCTGGTGCTGCAGCACAGCCAATGGTATGCGAGACGGTCACCAACGAACCCACCGATGATCATGCTGGTGCGGCAGTGCAGGTTATGGTGTATGAGACAGTCACTGATGATCCTACTGCAAGAACAATAGAAGAAACACTTATTAGTGAGGAGAGAGCAGAGGATAAGCAGGAGGACGAAATGAAGCAAGATGAAGCAAGTGATCAGTTAATGGTTGAAGTGGGAACAAGAGACGAGGAAATGGAGGAAGAAGAGCTCTTTTCGTCACAGTTTAGAGACCCCAGCACTATAAGATCTCTGGCGGAAGATAATGATGACCTTTTCTTAGCTATTTCTACAACAGAAATGATGGAACAGGATGAAGACGTTATGGAAGTAGACGTTGATGACAACATTGGTGAGACCATGGATGAAGATGCTGAGGTCGAGGTGTCAGACACAGAAGACATGCATGAGCTGCCTGAAAGTCCTGTCATGCCTTCTGTTGATGACGAGGACGACTACCTGGCAGAAATTGAGGACCTGCTTGTGAAACCATCGAGGCGCAAGGACCCTCTGGAGTCTCTCTTGACCGAGTCAGAGTTACCTGCAGAGATTGATTTGACAGAGGAAGCTTCAGCACAGCCTCTTTTAGCGAAATATATGGCAATGCCTGCAACTCTGACGAAAGAGGAGGAGGAAGAGCTACATAAATATTTAGTTGAAAATGACGATGCAAAGGAGCTTGACATGGAAAAGTTCATGTCGATGCCGGCAACGCTCACGGATCAGGAACAGAGGGAACTGGAGGAAGCAGTAAAGGAGCGGGAGCTGGTACATGAAGCTGAACGTCGAGACTTGGGACGCTTCCTGGAGATGCCACCGACCTTGACGGAACAAGAACTGCAGGAACTTCAGGAGTTGGAACAAGAGGAGGAGGAGGAGGAAGCTGAGCAGTCCTTGAAACACAAAGAAGCTACCTTTGATGATTACTTATCCATGCCCCATGCCCTTACACAAGAGGAGGAAAACCTCTTAAAGGAAGGGGATGAGGAAGAAATAGAATTTGAAAACGAGGAGGAATATCGTGAATATATTAGGAACAAGTTCCTCCGTCAGCTTGAAGAGGAAGCCGCTCATGTGGGTGAGGAGGATGATGAGTACGACTACGACGATGATTATGAAGATGATTACGAATATGAAGATGACTATGAAGAGGATGAGGACGAAGGTGAGATGGAAGGAAAGTACGTCATGGTATCTGATGTTCAGGAGGCTGCAACGGCTGGTGCCACTAGTGCCTCTGGTGCCTCTGGTGCCTCTGGTGCTGTCGCTCTAGTGGACGAGGCAGTCAACACTGAAGACCTATCCTCAGACCCAGAGAAAAAGACCAAGAAGAACTTATTCAGTTTTCCCAAAAAGAGTGAGAAAGAGACAACACCGGAAGAAACAGCGGCTTCATCTAAAAAGTTTTTTCACTTCGGCGGCCTTGGGGCCAAAAAGAAAAAGGAGGACCCTGATTCCATGGATGATAAGAAATTAGAAAGTTTCAATAGTAAAAAGTTTGATGGGGATGGCGGTGGATCCGTGAGCACCTCCTTCTGTATTATACAGGAAGAACTGAGGCGACAGGTCGCTCAAGATGTCACGCTCCGACAACGATTGCTTTTTAAAAATGCTGACTTATCTAAAACTCGAAGGCAAATTCTGCCAAAGAAACGCAAAAGTAACACTTGCAGAGATATTCCTCAAGTGCTTGCTGATAAACATATTAGTCACGGTGTTAAAATAAGAAAAGTGCCCAACTCAGTATCGAGCAAAATCGAGAAAACAGAAAAACAAGATGGTAGTGGTGGTTTCAGTCTAACGGACGTCAATGAAATAGTAAGCGAAACTGTGTCCCAAATAAATAAGCATAAAAATAATAATCAGATTCACAATGGTGATGAAAAAGAATGCAATACAGCGAGAGTGTGCCTGGGCAAGGATGCCACTATCGACCTGTCTAGTATGTTAGAGGGCTGTGTACTCCCTGAAATTTTTCTTGATGACGGTGAGGAGGATGTTGATCAAGAAATTGCCAACGTTTTCACAGCGGAACAGAGCGCTGCCGCCGGGGATTCCGGTAGTTCTCTGAAAGGAAGCGGAAGCCCCCTTGACAACGAGGAGGACTTTTGGCGTCAGTGGAGTAGGGAAGAGCAGGCCTCTGTGTCCGGTGCCAGGGACTCTGTCTCTCCTTGGCAGCTCAACCAGGACGAGGAGCAAGAGATGGAGACACCAAGCAGAGAGAAGGTAGATACAAAAAGCAGAGAGAAGAGTCTTGTAGAGAAAGAGAGTATGAGAAAAGGTGGTATGTGTGTTGAGGTGGGGAGTTTATGTGCTGGGGAGAGTGGCAAGGGACACTCCCCACTCGAGTGTGATAGAGAGTCCAGTGACTCAGGGACGGGTGTCGGCCATACCACAGTTGTACACAATACCAGTAACAACACAGTGCAAAGTGACGAGGAAACCAGTGCCAACTGTAGTGCCAGAAGTGTTGAAAATATTGCAGTTAGCACAGATGGGGAAGCTGGAGTGCCAGGTTATGATGTATGTGGACGACATCTCCATGGAACGTGTGAGGATCAGAGGAACGTGAAGACCCTTCAGGAGGATCAGACCCTTCAGGAGGATCAGACCCTTCAGGAAGATCAAACCCTTCAGGAGGATCAGACCCTTCAGGAGGATCAGACCCTTAAGGAGGATCAGACCCTTAAGGAAGATCAGGCCCTTCAGGAGGATCAGAGGAGCGAAAAGAACCTTCAGAAGAATCAGACCCTTCAGGAGGAGGATCAGAGGAGCGAGAAGAACCTTCAGGAGAATCAGATCCTTCAGGAGGATCAGACCCTTCAGGAGGATCAGAGGAACGCGAAGAACCTTCAGGAGAATCAGACCCTTCAGGAGGATCAGACCCTTCAGGAGGATCAAACCTTTCAGGAGACTCAGACCCTTCAGGAGGATTATAGGAACGTGAAAACCCTTCAAGGGGATCAGAGAAGCGAGAAGACTCTTCAGAAGGATCAGACCCTTCATGAAGATCAGACCCTTCAGGAGGATCAAACCTTTCAGGAGACTCAGACCCTTCAGGAGGATCATAGGAACGTGAAAACCCTTCAAGGGGATCAGAGAAGCGAGAAGACTCTTCAGAAGGATCAGACCTTTCAGGAGGATCAGACCCTTCAGGAGGATCAAACCTTTCAGGAGACTCAGACCCTTCAGGAGGATCATAGGAACGTGAAAACCCTTCAAGGGGATCAGAGAAGCGAGAAGACTCTTCAGGAGGATCAGACCTTTCAGGAGGATCAAACCTTTCAGGAGACTCAGACCCTTCAGGAGGATCATAGGAACGTGAAAACCCTTCAAGGGGATCAGAGAAGCGAGAAGACTCTTCAGGAGGATCAGACCTTTCAGGAGGATCAAACCTTTCAGGAGACTCAGACCCTTCAGGAGGATCATAGGAACGTGAAAACCCTTCAAGGGGATCAGAGAAGCGAGAAGACTCTTCAGGAGGATCAGACCTTTCAGGAGGATCAGACCCTTCAGGAGGATCATAGGAACGTGAAAACCCTTCAAGGGGATCAGAGAAGCGAGAAGACTCTTCAGGAGGATCAGACCTTTCAGGAGGATCAGACCCTTCAGGAGGATCATAGGAACGTGAAAACCATTCAAGGGGATCAGAGAAGCGAGAAGACTCTTCAGGAGGATCAGAGGGGCGAGAAGATCCTTCAGGGAGAGGCTCAGGTCCTGGTCACCTCCCCAGCATTACCAGTACATACAAGCTTCACTCTGCAACACAAAGGTATGGTGAGGCTGGTAATAGTGGTGGGGAATGGATGGTGGTTATGGGAAGGGGGATCGGGTCGGTGATAGTGAGAAGTCGGGTTTGTGGTGATGGGCATACGGGCTAGTTGTGGTGGGATGTTGGATTGGTGGAAGTGCCAACCTTGGTTTAGTGGTTGTGGAAGGTTGGGTTGGTGGTTGTTGGTTGTTTCAGACTATGGAACATTGTTCCATAGTCTGAAACAGACTATGGAACAATGTTCTTCTCCAGACTGAGGGACTGACTACCTCAAAACTTCAAGGGTGATGGACTGATTACATCGTCTTCACGTCTTCTGCTTCTATTAACTTTTCTGTACTCGACTGAAGAAGCCTACTGTGTAGGCAAAACGTTTCGAAATAAAGATACCTAACTGTTGCATATGTGTCTTACCTAACAGTGGGGAGGGGGAAACTTTTGTCAAGAATGAAATCGTGTAGACAGGTGATGTTTGGAGAGGCTTGTGTTAGCCGTGTGGGGCATTACTAGTGCCAGACGTCGTCCTCCTCAGTGCCAGTAATGTTTCAGTCTTTATGGCACTCAGTACTGTGGCATTCTCTGAGTGGGCGTAGTGTTTAATTTAGTTTTCCTCATCTTGTTTGTATTTATCCTAATACAAAGCATTCTAATTCTAAAGTGTTCTTAAATTTCTTTCTGTTGAATCTACGAAATGATTCAGCCATTTTTGTTTTGTTGTTAGTGAGTGTTTGTCTCTTAGGAATGTGTTGTCATCAAGTGTGGTCCCAACATTCTTAACATTTTGCTTGCGACTCTGACTCAGTTAGAACTCAGAATAAAGATAAATGTGCTGTAGTTTGTGTTTGTCTGTGTCAGATATAAGAATGAGAAAGAGAATTGGGATTAATACTGTGCCTTGAGGAGCAAATCTTTTCACTCTCGAAGTCTGGAACAGAAGGCATGAGTAAGCTATCAATATTTTTTTTCCTAGTCAAGTGAGTTTATGGTTGTGTTAGGAGGCATGTTAGCGATTTTTTTTCCTAGTCAAGTGAGTTTATGGTTGTGTTAGGAGGCGTGTTAGCGGAGTTTGGTGTCACATTGATACAAAAAATCATGAAGGTTGTTAATCTATAGTTTGCTTAATGGCTCACTGATCACCGAGTCGTCTTGTGTCTTCAGCATTTTAGTTTCTTGTCTTCAGTTAATGTCATGTTTTTCTTAAGCAACCCAGCATTAGAGTGTACGACACCTCCAGTGTTCACTGTTTTGTTTCTCTGACTGGTGTTTGTTTTCGTTGTTGAATTGTTGAAAAAGTCTGAAACCTTTCAGAAGTTTTGTGATTTTTCGTCTCCACCTGTAAATTATTATTGCAATCAAAACAAAGCGCTAGACCCACAAGGGTCATACAGCGCTGCAGGGTGGAATGTGCTAAAGATGAATCAAGCGAAGCTCAGAGACCAGCGAGGGTTTGGAGTATGTAAGAGGGAGAGTTAGCAAGGATAGTGGGGAGTGCTAAAGGGAAAATATAATTAAAGTTGGTGTAATAAGGCAGTTGCTAACAGGAAGTCAAAGAGGGAGTCTTAAAGGTGAGGCTGTCAGCGAGGTCATCAGTAAAGTGTGTTAGGGCGGTGACAACGTCGGAAGTAAATTCTGCTCGCTGAGACATGACAGTCTATTAAGAGATACTGAATTGACAGCGGAACTTGACAGTTCTCACTGAGTGGTGCTAAGCGTTACTCCACGTAATACCCATAAATAAGACGTGTGTCCGATATGTAGGGTGACCGGTGACGTTGGCTAGGTACAGCTCGTTATTGGTTACTTGGGCGGTCGTTCTTCTTCACCTGTAGAGGGAGAACCGTCATCTTTCTAAGTCTGCATATTCTTGTTTCTCTTTATTATTATTATTATTATTATTATTATTATTATTATTATTATTATTATTATTATTATTATTATTATTATTATCATCATCATAACTAAACACTAAATCCAAAAGGGTTATACAGCGCTGCCTTAATGTTATGATCATAGCACATACTTCTAGTGTCACCTGTCATACTGTCAAGACACTGGTTTGGATTTATGTCACTCAGCATATTTCATTAAGGTTTTGATCTATTTGTTCCCAGTTATATTTGTTTTTGAAATGGAATATGTTTAATCCACCCTCGCCATAATTTGGGTTACTCAGTCAGATGTTTATGTAGATGTGAACCTCACTTTATTGTCCGAGGTAGGTGCGTTCAACGCCAATATTTTGTGTATCAGATCATTGTACATATATTAGTCCAAGTGAGGAAAGGAAGTGTTCCTATAATTAATTTCTTATTTTCATTTTTTTACACATGTTGTTTGAGAGATAGGAAGTTTTTATAATATTTATTTTATTTTCCGTCTCAGTTAACTAACTAGAGGTTTGTTGTGTTTCAGGGTCCGTCATGGCTGACGCGGAGGCAACGGACGCCGCCGTAAGTAATAACCAACTAGACGCCGACTCCCTCGAGTTTGCTACCAACACTAACCTGCCCCTGACGGCCGCCAAGGCCTCCCCTGGGGGCGCCGCCCCTTCCCTTCAAGAACTAATCGAGGCAGAGTTGAGTGTCCGCCTTTTACAACCCGACTCTCTAGAGTCTCCCATTTCCCCAACCCTTCATTCTCTCGCCAGCTTCGACTCCATAGAACCCGCATCGACCCGGGCAGCTCCCGCTCTCAGCCTTGACTCTCTCACCGGCTTCGATTCCCTGAAGGATCACTTAGGTCAGGTGGATGTGGAAAGTGGAATAGACATCCTTTCCCCAACTAAACTTGATGAATTCAGTAACCCAGACTCTTTGGAGTCTTCCTCGGACATGTTAGGGTCACCCACCCAATACTCTCCTGAACCTCCCACCGAGGCAGTCTCTGCCGGAGGCAACAGCCAGTTCCTACTGATGGAAGAAGAACAGTCAAATCCATATACCCAGCAGAAGGTTACTAATACAGTAGAGAATTCTCTGCTCATAGTGGAGGAAGATGATCTCATTGTCACTGACGAAGACTCACATCCTGCTTCACCTACCAGTCTCAATTTGGATTCGCGTGTGTCGCCACAACTCGAATCTGCAACTGTTCTCGCAGCAGAAGAAGAAAATGATATTAATTACAGTAACCTCGCAGAGAGTCAGTTACCTCAGCCGTTCCTAAAAATAACTAAGAGGACAGAGTTGCTCAGCGTTGAGACACACTCACACTCTGGGTCGGGATCTGAGGAACAACTTCACTTCTCAGAGAGCTCAGCTGATAAATTCTCAACCTCAGACTCGTACACGTCGAACGACGCTGTGACGGAAGATGACATTGTGTTGCACACGTCTGACGAAGCTGTAACGGATGACGACGCTGCACGACGCACGTCCAGTGAAGCTGTGACGGACGACGACGCTGTGCTGCATACGTCTGACGAAGCTATGACCGAAGGCGACGCTGTACTGTGCACGTCCGACGAAGCTGTGACGGACGACCTCCGCCCATCTGACGGTGATGTGACTGACAACGACGCTGTACTGCGCAATACATCTGACGAGAATCAGGAATCAGACCGCAGCCCATCTGACGCGTGGACTCTTGCTGTTGATAGCCTGGCTGATAGTCCTGCTATCATTGAAAAAACGCTGTCTGTTGACAAGAACACTAGAACAACGCCGTTGACAGTGTGTGAGACGCACACGGAGATCACTTCGGCAGATACTGTGTTTTCCAGCAACTCTCGTTCATCCTCCCAAGATGTCAACACCTTCCAGGAGTCTCCCTCATCCTCCCAAGATGTCAACACCTTCCAGGAGACCCCCTCATCCTCCCAAGATGTCAACACCTTCCAGGAGTCTCCCTCATCCTTTCAAGACGTTAACTATTTCCAGGAGTCTCTCTTATCTTCCCAAGATGCCAGCATCTCTCCGGATTCCCCTTTCTCCCCTTTCATGCCTCCACCTTCCCTGTTAGACACCCCCGGCGCCCTTCCCATGAGTGGTACTAACAACGTGTGTGTTGGTGTATCCTCTAACGTTGGTGATATGGAACTCGGCATGTGTGATGCCACCATCAGTAGTGATGGTGATGGTGAGGTGACGTCCCCAGCACCGTCTAGTGGTAGTGGTGGCCACCACATCATTCCCGATAGTAATTCTAACGTAAGTGTTATTACTAACTTGTCATTTGCCCGCCTTGCTTATCCTGCTGCACCCACGCATGTCATTATCTTTGTATTTTCCATGCCACGCCGTCCACTTAAGCTGGAAGTAAGTTGTAGTTTGTACTCTGAATGTCTTCCTTCTGACTCCTAGCTGCGGAGCCTCTACCAGGGCTCTTCCATCAGGAAGGAAGAATAAAAGTAAAAGTGGCTGGAACAGTTCACAAGGAACACTTAAATTTGTAATAAAAAAGTTGATAAGATTCTGGTCCCTCCTGGACCACACACGGTTTGATAATGGCTTAAGATGGACCGAAACATCGTCCAATTTTCATTTCTAATTTGTTTGTTGTGAATAAGAAAGATACCTAGGTAGCTATGTGCTGGCGCCTTGTGCTTGCTATTTCTGGAAGGTGTCAGCCTGGCACTGCCACCAAGCTCACATGTGAAGGAAGATAACTTAGCAGGGTCGTGATATTAACCTACACTAGTAGAAAGATAACTAGCTTGACGCCAGCTGAAGCATGACAGTAGTGTAAGGCTGACCTAGCTAGCTTCACATGGTAGAACTAGTTTAAACAGGCTAAATGATGACAATACCTGGTAAAGATGGAGAAAAGCTGTATAAAATGCCGATAGACACACAAATTAAGTGTAATGAGATCCTTTAGTTCAGGGGTTCTCAACCTTTTTACGATTACAGACCACCAGTGGCTTGTTCAGTATGTGGCCATACCACTCTCACCAAACTGTAGAAATCATCATTATCACCAGTCCTGTTACATATCAGTATGACTTCAAAAGATGTCAACAGCTTGGTTTTAAATTACATATGGATAGCTAGCAACAGAACAGCTGATAGCTTAATCTAATTCAACAACAACTTTTTGTTTTTAAATTGTTCAGAGATGGAGTCCCATACTCCCATTAATTGGATCCCTAACCCCCATTATTTGGATCCCATACCCCATTATTTGGATCCCTAACTACCCCATTATTTGGATCCCATACCCCATTATTTGGATCCCTAACCCCCATTATTTGGATCCCATACCCCATTATTTGGATCCCTAACCCCCATTATTTGGATCCCATACCCCATTATTTGGATCCCTAACCCCCATTATTTGGATACCATACCCCATTATTTGGATCCCTAACCCCCATTATTTGGATCCCATACCCCATTATTTAGATCCCTAATCCCCATTATTTGGATCCCATACCCCATTATTTGGATCCCTAACCCCCATTATTTGGATCCCATACCCCATTATTTGGATCCCTAACCCCCATTATTTGGATCCCATACCCCATTATTTGGATCCCTAACCCCCATTATTTGGATCCCAAACCCCATTATTTGGATCCCTAACCCCCATTATTTGGATCCCATACCCCATTATTTGGATCCCTAACCCCCATTATTTGGATCCCATACCCCATTATTTGGATCCCTAAACCCCATTATTTGGATCCCATACCCCATTATTTGGATCCCATACCCCCAAGGGTATGGATGCCCGAGGTTAAGAACCCCTGTTTTAGTTAGTAAAGAATATCATTAAGGTACAGCTGTGTTCCAGTACTGGCAACGTCAAGACCAGGTGAAGCATGGTAATAACGCTAACAGGAAAGAATTAAAATCAGGTAAGTCTTTCTAAGACTAGATGAAGGAAGCAAGACGACAGTAACATTAGGTGAAGTTTTCTCTCACTAGGTGTGGTGTTACTAGCAGCACGTAAGTTAACACCTGCTGAAGCATGATCACAGGTAGACTTCACGTGACACTGATGCCAGATAATGTCTTCATTGCCAAGACCTCATTTTTTAATCACCTGGGGTATTTATAGCTCCCGCGGCCAAGTCTCAGACCAGTGATGAGCCTCAGGTGTGTCCGAACACCCACGGTATATACCTTTGATGAGTTTCGAGAATCGGAGCCCGGCCATGGGCCAGGCTTGTCTGGTCAACTTAATTATACCTGGAGGTTATTCCGGGGATCAACGCCCCCGAGGCCCGGTCCATGACCAGGCCTCCCGATGAATCAGGGCCTGTATAGTACTACCTACAAAAGTTAATAAGTAGGACACATACAACAGTAGGTATTTTTATTGAATAACGGGATGAATTAAGTCCTGGATACAGTACACTAAATAGAGAGGTTGAGGTAATCAGCCTCTCAGTCTTGATGGAAGATCATCCATGCGATGGATATGTGGGCCAGTGGGCCTCCAGCTGCAACAGCCTGGTTGGCCTGGCCCAGGGCCTAACTGCGGGAGTAGGAAGAACTCTCGAAACCCACCAAAGGTATATACCAGAGGTGACTGATGAGACTGTGGCGCGAAACTCTTCTCCAGGCTGAGGGACTGACCACCTCAAAGCTACGTCTTCAAAACTACTGTGTCTGCTCTCTTCTGTACTCGACTGAAGAAGCCTACTGTATAGAATACTGGTAGAATACTTCCACATTGTATCCTAATGAGACACGGTATGCCGTTTATATAACATTTTATTAAAAGGACGTTTCGCCCACCAGAGACTATCAATTCAGTGAATTGATAAGCGTCCTTGGTGGGAGAAAAGTCTTCTTAATAAAGTGCTACAAACCGCATTGTGTATCTTGTTTACATAAGAGTTTCTAACTGTCAGTCACACCCTATTATGAACGATTTTTATCTGGATCTTGAGTGTCAGGTGGAGTCTACATGGCAGTGATTGTTACTCACTCAAGTGTTGAGTGAAATATTATTTGAGAAACTGTTGTAGCATAGATATTATGGTATATTATTTGCTTCTTTTTTTTTATTGCTGAAGTGTAAGCTGTTTCTTATTTAATGATTTAACAGTGATGGGATATTCCGGTTTATATTGATGAGAAAGTATGGTAGATGAGGAGGCGCTCTACACTGCCACCAGCGTCATATATATATATATATATATATATATATATATATATATAATATATATATATATATATATATATATATATATATATATTATATATATATATATATATATATATATATATATATATATATATATATATATATATATATATATATATATATATATATATATATATATATATTATATATATATATATATATTTTTTTTTTTTTTTTTTTTTTTTTCAACAAGTCGGCCGTCTCCCACCGAGGCAGGGTGACCCAAAAAAGAAAGAAAATCCCCAAAAAGAAAATACGTTCATCATCATTCAACATTTTCACCACACTCGCACATTATCACTGTTTTTGCAGAGGTGCTCAGAATACAACAGTCTAGAAGCATACACATATAAAG